GAGCGGCGGCTCGTAGGCGTTATCGGCGTGACGACCACCCGATACGTATATACACGAGTCGGTGTCGTAATACAGAACGCGTCTATCTAATACCTCGAGGTAGTCGTAAAATTTCAGACGCCCCTGAGCTGCGGTATAAGCTATAACAACGTTTAAGCTATAAGCTATAACAAAATATAAGCTATAACAACGTTTGTGTACGCTGTGGGTATCAACGATTCGTTCGTACTACTCGTACTGACGTAGAGCATCTCGTCATATACGGGCAGAATACCTGTAATCTCGACCTCCGAACACGTAAGCCGACTCACGAGCTTTTGACGAGTCGTTACAATATTCTTCTTAGGTAGAATTTCGCGTTGCCCAAATTCGCCCCAAAAGGAATTCAAACATAATTTTGCGACTGACCGCAGACCGGGATTTGATTTTATATTACCAGGGTCTAGACGAATACCCTCGACCCGATCGTACTCCTCTATATATAACTTCTTGGCTTCGTCGTACTTGCCACACTCGCGCAGCCAGCCGCTAGCTTCCTGCTTAATCTTTAGGAACGTATTTATGTAATCGGCAAAGTGACCGCCAGCCCACGTCGTCGGATCGTATTGGGTAATCTCGTATTGCCATATTTCGCATATGATCGTTATTTGATACCCTTTACGTTCGGCGCGCCTGACTTCGTCCACAACCCAGGTCCCTTCGAATACTCTATCCGCGGGATTCTCGGGAGGGCACGACCCCTGTAGCGTGGCCTCTGCACAGGAACGACACAAGGCAAAGAGCAGTTTACCGTGCATACGCACCGGTAACACGGGATGATACAGATCTCGCGGTGGTAATACGGTTTTAGGTTTTGGTTACGGTTACAGTTACGGTTACGGTTACAGTTTAGGTTACGGTTTTTGCCTCGTAGGCAAAACGCACACTTAATCAAGCCCTCCACGTTATCGATGTTGTTGCGATCACCCGTTAGTTCGGGACAGTCATCGCCCACGTACACTGTAGGGCGATGTACAGGGAATTTCCCCGTTTTCGAAATGAAGGTGTAGAACGAGCACACATCTACGTAGTGTATCCTTTCAGACCCCTCGACTTCGTAAAAACTGACAGTGTTCCCTGTACGACCACCGAAGAAAGCATCACGGGGTTCGAGCGGTGTCTGCGATACCAGCGGGTTCTCATTCAGCGATCTGTATAAATCGGCCTGTTCAGGATCGTTTATCCAGCGGTCGAATTCACACTCCCAAATTTCAGTCAGCTCGTAACCTAGATACCGAATCTTATCATTCGTTGCCTGCGTTCTCTCGAAACGCGCATCCATGGATCCACCCGTGTGTAGACGACTATCTCTGTTTATGCGACAGCATTTTAGGCAACCGTGCCAGAAACAACCCTGAAACTGAAATACGTGTCGCAGGCCTGTGTCGGTGTCCAGGTAGTAACCGTCGACGGGTGTACCCTCCGGTAGATGATACTCCCGAGTGCGCCCTGCGTGAACTATAACACAGCCAAAACGATGCTCCAGCGAAAGAAGCCATAAGACAGCCTTACGCGATTGTTTCTCGCTGTACCGATATCCACCCGGCGGCAAAACAGCTATCTGCTCGTCCCGCAAAAAGTTTTTCCGAAAAACTCTCGAACACGCCGAGGCTATGGTGATGCTCTCCGAGAAAGGGCAAACGTTGCCGTGCTGAAGAAACGTCTGATCTACAGTAATCTATAAACTCGGTTCGAAAGTTAAACACGTATCCCGCAGAGCAATGCTCGTTATACCACGCTAAAAATTGGTTACGCTGAGCCGACGACATAATATTGGGCGAATAAAATTCGAGCGCCGGTAGCGGACCGATATTATGCTGATTCTCAGGTGTATTGAACAGATGCGGGAAGACACCCTTTTGTTTCAAATTAACCGCATCCATGAGGCCGAAGGCTTTTGGTAGTGCACTCAGCGATATATGAAAATAATTAAGACTGTCTATGAAAGTTACACGACTCGTCTTCATCATTATGATGCTCGTACCGCTGAGTAGTAGCGTCGGCGGCTTTAGGCTTTTTCTTTTACGCTTCACGATATGTTGTAGTACAAATTGCGCGTCGAAACCCTTGGCGTTATGCGCCACTCAAATCACACGCTAAAATGATTTTCTTTTAGGATCGCACGCGAAATCTAAAAACTGCCTTACGGCACCCTCTTCGAAGATGTACTCGCGTACACCGCAAGACGGGCATACCCTCGCGAGATCTGTATCATTTATGCATGCTGTACACACTTGCTGAACGACGCACTAGTTTGGTGTGTGGATACGCACCGGGTCGTCACCGGGCAGCTTCTATATCTACTGTGTTTCAAAATCATAGAAAATGTACAGAATATTTTTTTTAGCGGTAGTCTTTTTTATCGGTCTGACATAACACCTATGTCCAACGTCATTAACACTCCTGCAGACGCTGCAATACACCTTATCGAAAGAGTGCTTACGAGACGTTTCTTGAAGAGGCCTAAGACACTGCGGACAGCTGCGAACGGCCTGGCACACGCTCTTTTCTTTTCTCTTCTGTTTACTAATCAGCGTATTTATATGATTATCGAAACAGATTTGACCAAAGAAGTACCTATGGCACTCGCGACAATAAAATGTAGGGAGACTCGAATCGCAGGGCGGTTTTCCGAAACATCTAGCGCATTTGTGGGGGCACTTGTGCTCTGCCACGTGCGTGTAAGATTTGTTACATATTATGCAAAAACCACGACTACCGACCGCACCCCGCATATTTAAAATAGGTTGATAATGCTGCGAATTATTATAATACAGAATGCAGAGCGTTTGCCGTGGTTTCCCTGAACCGTACGCGCTATCGACTATCTGCGATCCGTCGTACAGTGGTTTCTCACCGCTGCCTATACTGTCGAACTCGTAAACAACAATGGCTATACCATCCGGAGCAAGGTACCTTTGAAATTGATCAATTTCCGGAATACCGCAACCGTCAGGCGGTATGTCTACACAAGCGTTTGTCACAAGCTCGAGAGCTAACTGTTTTTGAAATTTACCCCGTTGACGGGGTACCTCTCCGGGATAACATGGTAATGAGTATACTAAAAGTAATAGTAACGTAATGAGCTTCACCAATGAAGGTAAGAGAGAGGTAAGAGAGAGGTATGATTGGTTGCTGAGATGAGTTCCTGAAGAAAAGAGAGGTAAATAATCCATTTAAAAAAAAAAGGTCCTTGTCCTGGCCGCTATGGTAGGCACTGACACTCGTGTAGCGGTTGCTATGCACAAGGACACTGATTTCAAAAAGGGGTAGAATTTGTCGTGATACGCAGGTTGGTTTTCCTACTCGGCCCTAAGGCGGGGAAGACAAGATAGGCCCTAACGTATCTTGGCTAACACAACGGGTTTGCACTAAGTTCGCCTTTGATTCGAAATTTAATGAGAGCAAACATGTGACTTGTTCAGATGAGGCTCCTAGGTAGACTGACTATTTCGCTGCTCGGTTCCAGTTCGAAGAGCGTCTGAACCCAGAGAAGGGATGGAAAACTGCCGATTCGGTGGATTCTGGAATCGTGGGACCACCGCGGATTGCTCTTGGTTCTCGCGGTCTTGTCACGTTAGCGGCACGTAGTTTGGGGTTCATGGTCCTGAAATTCTCTGGTTCTTGCAAAGCCAAGCCCCTCTCTCTTTCTCGCACCCACTGATGAGCACTAGTGGGAACATTTCGTACGTTATACTACGGCGGAGCTAGGTGCGCGTAAGGGCCGATTACAATAAATGTTGCTCGCAAAACAAATAGGGTACAGGGTATTTGGTGGGCATCCGGGGGTGCAGTTGCGTCGAACATAACTCGATTGCATAAGGTATAGCCTTTCTTGATTGAAGATATTGTTATCTTATTTTACTAATTGATGGTCTGCTAAATATTATTAACCCGTAATATAATAATTGTGAAATATTTAACTGTTTACAGAATGCGACTAATGTTTGAAATATATCTTTAATAAAAAAATCTTCGTTCTAATGTTAATCACCTGTCTGTTACAAATGTATGACAATTTTATTATGAAAGACTGTTAATAAATACCTTCATTTTGTTCCGAGATTTAATTTTTGTTATATTTATGCATTTTAAAATATGACACACTAGTAATGTTCTTGTGAGCATTATATAATCTTCTATCCATGAGATACACTTCGTAGTATGAAGCTCAATAATTGTTCTATGCCAACAACAAAAAACCCTAAATATTCAAAAGTGGGAACTTTGGATATCGTAGACATCTTATGAATATCCTATGAATATCAAATGCTGTATGAGAACATCTGTCTGTTTAGACAGAGGACTGTTTAGACAGTTTAGACTTAGAGGACAGAAAGACAATATATTGGGTCTAAATCGGCTCAAGATATTCACTAAGTTATTCATTAATCATGACTATAACTTTCTGCTATGAAATTTAAAAGATCTCGTCAAAAAATACGTTGGCTCTGTAAGGGTTAAGCAACGTTATGTGGTTGAGACTTCGCATTTTTATTTAAAGCTCCGCAATCGGTTGAAAGTAAAAACCCGTTAGCTGACGTTATATCTAGTAAGTATCTGCAGCTAGCTTCAGTGTCTTCGCTGTATCCAAACAACAAAAGCGGGGAAGAAAACTCAGAATAGCTCATACTTGTCATTTCTGTCTTTTACTAGGTCTAGTTAAAAATTAGGCAAGTTTACCTAAAATGAACGTCACTTTCATAATTTACTTTTGTTCCGCTAAGTCAAAATGATTATCGATTTATAATATACATTAATAGGATACACTCATTTTAAGACCCTTGTATAGCATGCAAATAATATTAAAACCGAAAATAACCTCCTTCACGTAATTGTTACTAAACAAAATATACTGTATTCTATACCTGCATTTTTCTTATTGTCGTACATGCTAATGGTTGTTATTATTAAATAAAACTCTTTGTAATGCATACAAAAATATTTTTTTACACTAAAACTTGTTAGAAATGATTTATTCCTTTTCCAATATGAATCCACTAAGACAATGTTAATTAACTGTACATTATTGGAATATGTCATTTACGTAAAAATTATACTAATTTACGTAACTAGCATATCAGCAAAGTAATTCATTGAATAACCGAGAAGTTTATTGAAACGAATGTTCTTCCATTGGGCTCAGTGAGCGCTCAATACTTTGTTGTGTAGAGAAAACATTTTGTGACTTTGCCTATAAGAGTAAAACATAGACAAATTAATTAAGAAAGTTTTTGATAGTAATCTTTATTAGATTTTTTCTGAGAGAAAATATTACCTGTGAGATCGTAGTTGTATTAGTGTGATTGTTGGTTGCCATACAAACAACTACTAACTTTGGGGCGGAATTTGATATATGCTGCTTTTGTTGACCAGTGGAACCTTGTGCAAATTTTATTTGCTGTTGGTGTTGCTGTTGAGATTGCTGTAGAGGATTAGGATTTGTAGTGGGAGTCGTTGGAGTCTGCGATCGTGACTGCAGAATGACAAATTTTTGCCCTCCTGTGGTAGTACTTCCACCCGTACCTCTACTCGTTCCCAACATTATAGTGCGTCCTGTTTGTTGTTGACCTGGGCTGCCACCCGTTACTGAAATATTTTCTAATCAGGAAATTGTTTAGTGACAGCTATCTATATACAATCAATCAAATATTATTCAGACACATGAAACATCATAATATTAAAGCTAAAAAATTGTTTTAACTAGCCATGATCGCATAAAACATGAAAGAATATCTGATGCAATAGCCATCGCCAAAAAACAGTGGGTGTGAGCTTGTGCGCAGGCTGCAAATATCTGTATTATAAATTTCTACAGGTTATGGCTGTGTGGTGGGAGATACAGTCTTGTAAGGCAAAAGTTAGCTGCTTTAGACGAGTCACACGATTAATAATTGTTTTACGGTTTAAGCGCCAAGTACATTCGTTTACAGACTATTGAAACGCCACACTCGTAGCTCTTCACTTTATTGATTTAAAATTAGAAAATCGCAAATTAAAATACTCAGGTGTCGAAGTTTCCCTAATAAGTAGAGGAGAAGGACTGACGATAAGCCATGAGTCAGAGACGAACTAACAATAAGAATTGGTAGGAAAACGTTATTCGCCCTCATAATGTTGCATCGCGCCATTATGGGCAGGCTATGAACAAATGCACTTGACGCTTGGACTGAAAAACGATTCCTTATCGCGTGATCCGTCTGAAACAGCTAACTTTTGCCATACACGATTGTACTTTCTACCACGCAGTTATAGCCCGTGGAAATCCTTCTTAATCATTCTCCATTTAAAAACCATTGGGAATTTCGACAAACGCTTTGTGGGAGGATATTCAGCAGGGTACCACGTCCCGTGGGCATTATATCCGCGACATTATATCCGCGACATTAAATCTGCGCGACAGTATATCCATGGCGTTATATCTACGACAGTATATCTGTAGTTCATTGTATTATTTGTTTTTGAATGTATATACAGGGTGTTCGTTATGAAACGCACTGTAGTAACATCGTTGCATTCCTTGTCAAATTCCAAAGAATACGTGTATTTTCATTTTTTATTTCATATATCAAAATTTCGAGATAATCAAGGTTGAAGTTGCAGTAATGCGACAAATCAGAACGCGTTTAAACAGAGCGTAGATGACGTCGCGAGCCAGCCCGTAAGGCCTGCTTACAGGAGGCCAATAACACTAAGATTATCGTCTCTTGTATCTTACTCAATTACATGCAGATTTTTTTGATTTTTTAAATGCCTTTTTAGTCTCATATGAGACTAATTTCAGCTGATCTTTATTTATACATCTTTGTACATTGATAAGTTGTTCTTATACATAATAGTTTACATGAATATTTTTTTTTTTTATATACATGAGTTTTTAAATTTGGAGTTTACAATCTTCAAAGAACTTACATACTATTATACAAGCTACAATATTTGGTTTGGCTATAATAGATTCTATGTTGTACGGTGGAAAAATTTTACATTTTCTGAGATCTTTCAATAGTTTCTTTCTTTGCTCGTTATAAAGAGAGCACTGAAAAATTACATGATTTAAATCTTCGTCGTATGTGTTCTCTTGTGTACTGCATTTACATTTACCATCATTTATTATATGTTTACGAGCTAAGGATACTGCAAGATTATAACGATTGCTGCGCATTCGATTAATTGTTACAATAATTTTTCTACTAAGTTTTGATTTGTGGAACCAAGGCTTTTGTTTCTTTGTGTAATAATTTTTGAAGTATATAATGCCTTTTTCGAGACCAACAATTTCAAGAGATTGACAATTTTTGAAATGCATGTCCTGTTTAAAGTATGAAGTAAGATCTGTGAAGGGTATAGTATTAATGTTTGTCTCTTGAAGCTCGCACGCTGCCTTGGCGCACAAATCAGCACCCTCGTTTCCAATTATTCCTATATGAGAGGGTATCCAGAACAGTTGGATTGTTTTGTTACTACTATCTTGGTGAAATTTATTGAACTTAAATTTAATTTGTAGGATATAATCATTGATTTTAACACTTATTTTGTTTGAGTCTAGACTTTGTAAAACACTAAGAGCATCTGAAAACATAAGGAAGTTTCGATTTGTGTGAGCCAAGGCAACGTCAAACGCATTGTTAAGAGCAATGCATTCTGCATATACACTGACGCTTCTTTATCTATACTCTTAATGATATGTATATCTAGTTCTGGGCATATGCACGCAGATCCTGTATTCATAGATTCATTTGATTTACTACCGTCAGTGTAAATTTTAATTACATCGCTGTTTTGAAAGAAACTATTAAAGAACTCATTTGGATTTTGAGATTTCTTTAGTACATTTCCAAATGTTGAGTTATATGGAATTTGTGTAATAACAGTTTTATAATCATAATCATAAATGTTAAATTCTTTTTTTATATCTAAATTTTTTACATTATTTACAAAAGAATTTATGCATTGAAAAATAATTTTTCGGCGGGTATTGCCCTTTTTTTTACTATATTATAGTATTTGGCAATATTTTGATTTACTACTGTCTCTGTGTTTGAGTGCGTTTTTGCTAGATAGCAATTACATAGATAATTTATTCTTTCTTTGAGAGATATTAGTTTTGATTCTGCTGTGAGTATATTTAAAGGTGTACTAATCCGAAAACCCAATGATGACCTAATTGCTATATTTTGTATTTTTTCAAGTCTAGTTAAAAAATATTCAGTGTCATGCGTATAGATAAACGAACCAAAATCAATTCGTGATCTTACGTAGCTTTTATAGAGAGTTATAAGTGTTTCTGGATTAGAGCCCCAGTATGTACCACAGAGAAACTTTACTATATTTAGCGCTTTTGAACAATTTTTAAATACTAAGTCGAAGTGAGGTTTAAATGACATTTCGAAGTCAAAAAGAACACCCAAAAAACGAGCAGTTGAGATCGATTTTATGACACTATCTCTAACTTTGATTTCGGTCTGACCTGGAATCACACCCATTTTATTGAAAACTAAAAGAACAGTTTTGTGTGAAGCAATGTCAGGTCCTAATCTGTACAAGTTTTTGTCAATTATATTAGTTGCTTTTTGGATGTAGTTTTTGCCCTAGTTAATTGATTTCGTTTTTATATAAATTCCAATATCATCAGCAAATTGTGAGACAATGATATTTTTAGGTAGATTTGAAGTAATTTCAGAGACATAAAAATTGTACAGAACTGGACTAAGAACACCTCCCTGTGGAACTCCTTTGTATACAGTTCTTGTGTCTTCACCCAGGGACACTGTGTGAATGACTCTTTTATGAGAAGTAAAATTAATATATTTTAAAATTTTAGGTGAACAACCAATTTTAGATAATTTTTCAAGAAGTATATCAATATTTACATTATCAAATGCACCTTGTACGTCAATAAGAGAGGCTACGACCATTTTTTTCTCCGCGAATGCTTCGTCTATTTTAAGTGTAAAGTTAACAAGATTGTCTATACATGACTTGCCCTTACGAAAGCCAAACTGGCTATTTGGAATAAGGTTGTGGTGTTCTATCCACCATTCAAGTCTATTTTTGACTAACGTTTCAAAAAGTTTTCCTAGACAAGAAGAAAGGCTAATAGGGCGAACCGATGAGCCATCAGGTTTAGGTCCAAAATGAACAAATGAGTGTGTCCAGTCAGAGGGATAATCATTATATTTATACATTTCATTCAATATGTCAAGCAATAATAGCTTGTATTTTATTGGAAGGTTCTTTATGATCTCAAAATCTATACCATCCAAACCAGGACTAGAGTTTACATTTTTATTTTCAAGCGCTATAATAAATTCAGTAAAATTAAATATTTCATCAAAGAACTCATTGTCGCAACCATCTGGAATCAATTCTGGATTTGTTTCAACCCACGGAAGGTTGATTTTGTCAAGAGCTATAGATATTTTATCGTTTAAATGTAAACTTTCTGTATATGTAGATGGTTTAATTTTCATGACACTATTTTTTAGGATTTTACATTTATCCCAAACATACTTGGGATCTGTTCGAAAGTCTATTGTTGAAGCAAAATTTTTAAAATGTTCTCTTTTTTTAATTTTAAATGTTTTTGTTGCTAAAGCGCATAATCTATTGTAATTTATTAGATCGTCTAATTCGTGTGAGAATTGCCATTTCTTAAATGCTGCGCGCCTCTGTCTTTTTATTTTGTTACAGTCTGCATCCCACCAAGCAACCGGATTTGTTATTTTATCTTTATTAGGAACTTTTTTACGTGTGGGAGTAGAATGTTGAATGGCTTTGACAATGATTTCTTTGATAAAAATGTATTTTTCTACAGAGCTTAATTGCTCATAATCATGTGTAAGAAATTCTTTATAACATTGTTCAAGATAGTTTTGAAATTGATTCCAATCAGTTTTTTTTGTTTTAATTTTAAAAGTCTTTTTAACGTACTTTTCTTTTTTTATGCCAATTTTTATAAAAATTGGGTAGTGATCAGAACCCCAGGGTTCGTCGTGAACTTTACATACAATTTTGTCTGCTAAGTTTTGAGTTGAAAACACAAGATCAATGTTTGATTTAGTGTTATTGCACTTATTTAAATGTGTAAAAGTGTTATCATTATAAAGGAAAAGATCAAATTTATCTATTGAATTTTCTAATTTTTTACCGTTTACGCCTGTTTGATTACAATTCCAGTTTATATGGTGAGCGTTAAAGTCACCTAGTATAACGGAGTAATTATTTGTATTTATATTTCTGAATACCGTGTCCCATTGATCTTGTGTGTGACTTTTACCTGGGGTTCTATAACAAATAATAAAATCAATACAAGGAACAGTATTTTCAATTTTAAAACCGGATATTTCGAATTCAATAGCAGGAGAAATAATATATTTATTTGAAGTAAATTCTAAAGTGTCTTTTATATAAGCAATAATACCTCCACCACGAGAATGTTGTCTATCATGTCGAACTGCCTTGAATCCAGCCAGTTTGAAGTCATCAAGATCGTTTAGCCAGGTTTCAACACAGATAATAATGTCATATTCTTTTTTAAAAGAGTCAATTTCTTTAAATCTAGGGCGAAGACTACGTGTGTTCCAGTAAAAAATTCGTAACAT